TTTCTATATTTTAAATTTTTATCACACGAAATTTGCATAGAAACTGTTTAGACGAAAATTATTATTACCTATATGATACACAACGAACTCAGTGTCACCAATGCTCACTGGTCGAATATTCAACCACTTTTGTTAACTTTTCGCACCAATTCGGCCAGCGTACATAGATATGGCTGATTAAATGGCCAAAGCGCGCATAGAAATAAAAGCATAGCAAATAAAGTGGGCGATAATACACTTCCACGCGACTGATTAGTTGGTTAAACTAAAGTGGTCGATTTAGCGACCATCAACCTATAAAAAGTTAAGGCTAAGGAAGGAATCTAATGCTATTTTTATATTCATACATTCGAGACGGAATCGACGTCACGATGAGACGCCATTTTTGACAGTTTTGTTTGGCGTATCATTTGACGAGTTTGGATTTGACTTAAATTTGGACAGATTTGGATTGTATTTTTTAAGTTTATTTTATATTATTTCGTTTTTTTTAGCCGACCATACCAATCGTATGGACCAAAATTGGAAAAATTCCTTTACTTTGAAACTAAAAGAACTGCCTACCAACTTTTTATTAACATATTTTAGTATGGGCGGCTATACGTGCCTCCCGGCGCCAATTTTTTTTTATTTAAATCTTATTTTTCATAGATATTATATTATATTAAAAAAAATACCGAAATTTTTATTTACCTAGTTATTCCCACTATAATTTTTTAAATAAAAATATTAAAAAAAAAGGTTTCTCCGAAACTATTGCCAGCGAATATTGTATGTAGGTATCTAATTTATGGTAGCCGTTAACAATAGTATAACAATAATTCGGGAAACTTCGGCGCAGCTAAAAGTAAGTAAAAAAGTTCGAATAAATACATGTCCTAAATTGCTTCGTTTCGGAGATACAGGGCGTAGACGTTTCATTTTCAATTCAGTGTTTTACAAATAATTTCTGAACTATAGTCGATATTTGGATAAAAATTGATGTAAGAGTGTTTTTTGATATGAGAACTTTCATTTTGATGCCAATTTGACTCCTACTTATAGGGGGCGCCACCTACATATCTTTTATCTGTTTTGAAGACTAATAACTTTTTGTCCGTACCTGTATTACACTAATGAGTGAAAAAATATAAATTTCCCTCATTTTCTACTTAAAAAAGGTTTCTTGATAAAAAATCGCTAGGAGTATTAGTTCTCAAGATATTTTGAATCGAATTAGTCAATAATTGTCATAATTGACAAAATTTTTGACATGTTGACTGGATACTCCTTAGTGTGAACAAGCTCAACTTGTATCAGGGAAGTCTTTGCTGCAGACTTTGCTATAAAGATCCTGAAAAAGCGAAGCACATAATGTGTCACTCCGAGGGTCTGGATCGCAAGCGACACTTTTTATTTGAGAAAGCAAGGCTAGAACCCGAGGAATTATGCTCCCATCTTATCAAGTACCTGCATAAGTTAGTGCAGGGTAGTATTTCCCGCAGAATACGGCCCTTTATTATTGGAAATAAATAGCCTGGGCACGCTCGCTGACATGCAATTTGACTAGTTGCAAAGACTATTAAATACTGTAAAACGAAACAAAAATATTGGAATTGTTTTTGTTAATGATATTTATTTATAGGTACCAGAGTTCAATGCCTGTACAAATATTATCCAGTGCAATATTTTTAGCACAACAAATTTAAATGAGAACAAAAGCATTTAATAATATGTGCTTTAAAGAAATTTGTTATAAAAGATTGGTTAAATCCCCTCAATTAAAACATCTATCTGCTTTGTTTCTGCACAAACTTTTCAAGGATACTCTATATATTTTTCATTCTTTACTTCCAGTCTTTGTTAAGATTTTCTTTAGCTATTTGCGATTCCGAATAATTCAACGCTATTTTTATTCACAGAGTATTTTTTAATCTCAGTACCTGTTATTACGCTGATTATTATTGTTGTTTGTTGCTAAAAAAAGGCAATTAGTCGTTGATAACGTATTTCGCGCAGTCACGTTAAGAAAATAAAAAAATAATAGACAGTAGCGTATCTATGAAATTTTATACGGTATATGTATAAATACCATATGTTCCGTACCAAAGTTATATTTTTTCTTATGGAACACCCGGTATTTTATTTCATTTTTGGATTCCTGGGCCTAAAAAAGGTATTTATTATCAAGATTAAATATGTTTAAAAGCTTTGGTTTTTGAAATATTTAAATATACCTGCTATAATAGAATAGATTATCAACACCCTGTACATTATTTTTCAGAATTATTGTACTGCTTTACATAAAAAAAACCTCGTTATTTCAAATGCAACACCCGCCTCTAGTTAAAAAAAGTCGAAGCGGATTCAAATACTTTTTCAAACTATATTAGGGTTTCCTATAACTATCTAGCTCAGATTTTGAATAAAAAGCGATTTTTCAATAAAATGGCAATCTCTTAATTCAAAATCTGAGTTAGGTATAGGAAACCCTACAATAGCCAATAGTTTGCAGAAGGAAGGCCTATTCTAGTTTGCTCAAAAGTCAGCACAAAAATTAATTCTGAAAAGTAATGTACAGGGTGTTGACAATCTTTTTTATTATAGCATGCATATTTAAATATATTTAGATATCTCAAAAACCAAAGCTTGTAAACATATTTAACCCTTATAATAAATGCATAATTTTGTGTTCAAGGGTCCAAAAATGAAATAATAATACCGTGTGTTCCATAAGAAAAAATATAACTTTGGTGTGAATCCTTTTGTTCTGACATACCCTGTACATTTCAAAATAATTTTAAATTATGCACATTGCCTTCCGACATATACCCAAAATATTTTGTTTCTATATCTTTCCGTTTTCGTATAATTAACCGAGGCGAATGAGGTTCGCCCATGGTGCGCCACACTGTATACAGGGTGTTTCAAAAACATATGCCATCTCTCGTGGGGAGATTCCTCACGTAAAAATAAGATTTATTTTTCATATCAACATAGGTCCGATTCTGATTTGTTTCGTAGCTAGAGCGTGTTAAAGTCTTAATATTTTTTCGATTTATTAGATTTTTTTTTCCAGCGTGAACAATGAAATTTTGAGGATAAAAGTTACTATAAATGCGACATATTTTAAAGCTAAAAAAGTGTCTACATATTCACCAGGGACGTACATATGAGTTATCACTGGAATATTTTTCTAAAAAAACATGTACGCCACTGACCCTTTTTTCTCTTGTTAGCGAAATAGTATAAGCAGTTTAATGCCGATTAAAAGTTGTCTCTTAATATTTTGTCGCTTTTGGTCTCTTTGATGAGATAAACGCAATTTTTTTAATTTGCCTTGATCTAATAGCAACCTTTAAAAAAATTTAATATCATTAACTTGCGAAAGTTTCAAATATATGTACTCATTGATTCCTCATCAAAATATATGAAAAAAGTTCCTATAAACATGAATGAATGTATGAATATCCATAGTTTTAGAGTTACAGGATGTTAAAACTTTTTAAAATTATATTTTTTAATTATCTTAAATACCATTATTTTTTTATTGGAAATTGTTGTAGGTTGGACTAATAGTAATAATATTTAATAATAAATTAGGTAAAATATATAATTTATAAATTTCATTTTTATTTTAATTTTATTAATTATGATTAATAAAATTGCGTTTATCTCATCAAGGAGGCTGAATTCGACAAAATATCAAGAGATAATTTTTAATTGGCCTACAATATTTTGATATCAAAAGAAAAAAAAGTCAGTGGCGCACATGTTTTTTTTGAGAAATATTCCAGTGATAACCCATATGCAGGTCCCTGATGAATTTATCGACACGTCGTGGTTAGCACTAAAATATGTAGCACTTATAGCACAGATTAGGTATCCTATAAGTATACAGATAAAAATCTTGTCCCTAATTCGTGGTACGAAAATCGTTTTTTATGACCATGTGCAAACGAGTAAAATTTCCTGTGCCCAAAAATAAACTCGCGTAAAATAACAAAAAACAGCGTAATACAGAGATATCGCTAAACCGAATAGCGTGCATGGACGTTAATAAGGCCAGGTGTTATTTCCTTTACGTGAGGTGGTATTAACTCTCTTCATTTGTAGTTATCAGATCGGAAAGAATTCTGTTCGCGTCGCGTCCGCTATTTAAACTTAACCTAACTTTGAATTTAAACCTTGTTGAAACCTTGAAATTGTTTTGTTTACTAGGTATTTTAAAACTAAAGGGCTAAAGTGCTTATTTCCAGTGCTTTATTGTTCAACGTCTGCCAGTGGGTTTAGGGCAACAAGCAACAAATTCTCTTAGAAGGGCTAAGTCGTCATCTGCTGTAAACCTAAGCCTCTTTATAGGTTCTTTAATATTGGAAGAGGTGGAATCCATATTTTAGGCCATATTTATTTAATTAAAACTAATCCCAGCTACTTAAATATCAAATTACCTAATAAAACTAAAGCAATAATTCAAAACAATTCAAACATAACCTAAAATAAAAGATCTCGCCAACTGGCCCCGGTTGTCAAATACCCGCACATGCCCATTTAAGCAATTTTTAAACGTTATTTAGAAATAGCGCTTGTTGTAATTGATCCGCAAATTACGTCAGGCGGTAACGTTATTAGCGGGTGTTGCGTTAAAAATTGACTCGCGCATATGAGTCGTAACCATGCGCATATATCGTAACCATGATAAGGTACGCGTAAATACTGCATGACGCTATTCGGTTTTCCGATATCTCTCTAATAACTGTGCCGGTCTTATTAATTAATAATTTGATACACTTTCACAAAATTTGTATTAAAATATCAATATTTATTTTTACATTTTATTTTTTTGTAATAATGTCTTTTGTACTTAGGCGTAAAAGTGCTTCAGTTTTATGCCTAGGCTTGTAAATGACGTTTTTATATTGTCATCACGTCGCAAAAATTAATACTTTTGTCGTTTGAAAAAAATAACACTTTTTCAAATATTTAAATATCCCTAATTAAAGGTAAAAAACAACAACAAATAAATATTCAACAAACAACTTTTTATTTTCAAAATATTAATTTATACAAATATTAAATACGCGTAACGAAAAAACAACATATTATGACAGTAATAAAAAAAATATAAATAAATCTTATTTTCTAAGCATCTGTAGTTTTGGTGCTGATAATTTCACTTTTCCCGGTAGATTTCTAGCCAACTGTTCGTCCTTGACAGCCTTCAAGAGGTCTTTTTCCCTGGAAGTGATGCTACGGTCCTTCAGAAACATTGATACAGCTGTTCTGGCTGCTTTACCTCGTTTTGCAGTTCCCGGTGTTAATTTTACTTTAAATCTGCAACCATATATCTTTATTTAAACCAATTCAAACTATACATATAGGGTGTCTCATGAATTAGTATTTTAAATGGTAGTATATTTCAAACCCAGAAACAGACTTATTACGTTTAATTCATTTTTTTTAATTTTCAAGAAATTTTAAAAAACTTTATAGTTCTGCAGTTTTTTCTGAAATTTCATGACGATGTTGCAAATTTGCCATCTCCTACATTACCCACGTTCTGCATATTTCTATATTTGTAGGATAGTAATTTTAATTTTCTATAAAAAATTAGGAAAATTAATTTTAATTTTTTTAACATAATATGGGTGATATGGGGACAACGGTAACGCACATTTTAAAAATAACAATCAACACACAGGGCGATTCAGACATATTTTCAAACTAAAGTTGTGTATTTTTAAATGGAATGCTATATATTTTTAGCTCAGTTCATTTGTCATTAAATTTCCGTTCGAAAAAGACCAGAATGTTCTCTACTATACCGAGTGGTTTTTGAAGTAAAACCGTTTTAAACTAAATTTACTGCTTATTAAAAGCCCTCTCAAAATTACCATATCATATACTATACCACTCGGTATAGTATAATACGATATTATGGTAATTTTGGAATGGAAATTCAATGGCAAATCCATTGAGCTAAAAAATATATAGCATTCCATTTAAAAATATACAACTTTAGCTTGAAAATATGTTTAAATCAAACTGTATACTGACAAAAATATGTTCAAAATGTGCATTACTATTGCCACCATATTATGTAAAAAATTGAAATATGTAAAAAAAACAAAATAAATACCTAATACAGAGCTTCTTCAGAAGCCCGAATCACCCTGTATCAGTGTCCATTACTAATAATTACGTTGATTCTAAAGCAACGCACACTAGCAAAGGAGCACAAAATAATTAAATGCTAGTGAAACAGATATTTTATAATATTGAAAATACCTGGTTCTGATGATTGTATTCATTCAATTTACAGTTGAAAATAACTGTTAAAAAGTATTCAAACTAGTGTGCGTATGTTTTGGAAATTAAATGTTCAAGCATGATGGAAATTGTGTACTTAAATGTAATATTACGGTTGTAGGTAAAATGCAATAAAACAAAACAAAAATAAGACATACTGATACATCCATAGAAGTTACATCGATCTGCAATCATATAGTATATAGTTTTTTAATTTAATTTGTAGGATAATAGAACTAGTGAAAACTAACTAAAAAAAATTGTGTATGCACTATGTGCGCATATTTGAAGTAAAAGTTCTTACTAACAGCTATTAAATTGAAGGATTTAAAGGATATATATTTTTTTATGAATGCTTTTTATAAACTTCAAAAAAATTGTTAATATAAAACCGTGTATAATTCGAGCTTTATAATTTTATAACGATTTTTTTAATTTTTATTAAAAAACGATAATTCTATTGCCTGGCTGGATAGCTGTGGCCATTAAACCATAATACTACTACATACATCTATATCTCTGACTACTACTAAATGCTACTAACCAACAATTTGTTTGGTGTGGTCTGTTTTTGTTTAAATGTTTTGTTCATTATTCATGTTGGGGATTTATTTTTAAATTAATGTTAATCGTTAGGCAACCAGTAAACCCAGAATATGTATTTCTTTTTCATAATCAAAATGGTCACTCTAAATTTTACTTAACCGAATTGTCACTCTAAATCGCTGTCTTTTTTAGACAGATGTCACTTGTCTTTCCATTATTCAATTCATTATTCGAATTCTCAGAATGTTGTTAACAAAAGTTTCATCTTTAAATAAAATTTTAATCAATCTCAATTGTTTTTCTCCATCATTTACCGGATTAATAATACAGAAATCACAGCTCAATTACAAATAATTCATTATTATTAAAGTAACAAATAATTAATTATTATTAAATTAGAGTTAATATAAAACCGTATACTATTCTAGCTTTATAATTTTATGTTTTTTATTTTTTTTTAAAAACGATAATTCTATCACCCGACCGGATAGCTGTGGCCATTAAACCAAAATACTACTACATCTGTATTTCTGACTACTACTAACTGCTACTAACCAACAATAATTTGTTTTGTGTGGTCTGTGGTCTGTTTTTGTTTAAATGTTTTGTTCATTATTCATCTTAGAAATTTATTTTTAAATTATCGTTAATCTGCTGAGGACCGGCTGATTGCCTGTTGATGTCACCATTTCTCAAAATAAAAGAATTATTTTTTTAAAATTTCGAAGTTAATTAACTATTTTCAGTTTATTTGAAAAATGGCAAATAAAAAACATCTCCCTTTTGTCAAGATTTTTTGTTCAAGATATTTCTTAAAACACTTGAACTTATTTAAGAGTTACCCTATAATGTAAAATAAAATAACAAATCAATAAACTGAACATAATCAACAAAAGTATCATTCCTATAACAATAACGAAAAAATCAACTTACTTGTAACTGGACAAAGTGTTGTAAGGAGCGATAACAGGCACAGCAAATAATAACTCGTCATCTTCTAAAGGAATTCCAGTAAGTGTGTCAATCATATCCACGTTTGCTTGAACAGCAGGTTCTTCTTCATCTACTTCATTTGGTTCTTTTGGTTCTTGTACCTTGGGTATTCTAGGTTCTCTTTTAACATTTTTCGAATGTAGTTCTTTATCCTTCTTGTTCTTTTTCGTCTCTTTGTGGGACCCGGATGACTGGAAAAGAATATGTAATATTTTGATATGAGAAAAGTAAAAATAATACCTGTAAAATGTCCATTCTCAATTGCCTTTCTTCTTCATCCTGATCTCTGTATTTTTCTTTGATTTTTTTCAGTTTACTCTTCTGGCCTCTCTTAGTTTGCTGTTGTTTGTGGGTTTGAGTATCATTACTTCCTATTTACAGGTAAAAAGGCATAAACAATGATTCTGTTATTTTATATTTAAATATTATTATAATAGTAACTACCTTGTCTACTATATCTTTCTTTGTTACTGGATTCACTAACTCCTCTGCTTCTAGATTTTTTATTTGAAGGTTTTAGAATGATAGGTTTATCGTCACCCAAGTATATAACGTTGTCTTTGTTATCTTCATCACTTTCTTCTTGTTTTACCACAGACTCAGTAACTAAATGTCTATAAGAAAAATTCAATATATTCAAATCAAGCGTTCTTGTTATAATTCTGTTCAATTCAAAAGAACAAAATTGAGACTTTAATAAAAAATAACTTCTTACAGTATTTCCACTTAAAACTGCTACAGTATTTTAGTACTGTGTAATATTTAATACAGGGTGCTATTAAAATATAGTAATATCAAAAGAGAAATTTAAGATATAAAGAAATCTATACAATTCATATTTATTATACCGTATGATCGAGAAAAAACGGCGTCAGCGATGGCTATGGAATGAAGATCGCTGTCATTTTAAATGTAAATTTATATGGGAAATGTCATTGATGTTCATTTCCCAGCCAACTGGACGCCGTTTTTTTTTCGATCATACGGTATAAGGGGTGTCATAAAGTTCGCAACAAACAGGACTTTTTATGATTAGTGGATTAGTTAATGAAAAAAGTTTATGGGAATTACTTTAGGCAGCCCAAGGCCACCAACAACGTCATGGTGACATGCTTTTTCACGAACAACGTCATGATGACAAATTACATAATAATAAATATATGCAGAAAGTGCGGTTAGGTGGTGGTTAGGTGACAAAATATCAAGAGAAAAGTCAAAGAGAAGAGTTGTTCAGAATTTGATTTACGTTTATGTATCAAGTTTCATAAATGTAATAGTATATCAATATCATACACAGTTTGGGATATCTACTACCAGAAATCAACCGAAAAATTAAGTTAGCCTGCAGTACTTATGGAAGAAACTCAATCATAAATCTAGAATGCCACATTATCTAAAGAAAAAAACATTCGACCAATGTGTACTACCAGTCATGACCTATGCATGCGAACGCTGGGCTCTTAAATCGGACATTATGGTACGTACACATTGGTGCGCTGTGCCGCGAACGCGAGACGCGCGCTCCGAGAGTTCGCCACGCGTTCCTGTTTTTGTTTTAACGAACATCCCGCGATCCATAGAAATCCCGCGAACATTCGTCTAATCGTTAATCATGTCTCTATCGTCCGAGAAGAACTACGCAATTTTAATCATGAGTAGGGCGACTCTTTAAACACTCCATTAATAAACAATATTCAAAGAAAAACACAAAAAAGGGAATTTATTCAAAGAAAATACACATAGTCACTGATAAATACGCGCGGTGTCTTCACCGGCCGTCCCAACTGAACAACGAACAAACAAAGCGGAGCGTCGAAAAACCGACTGGAGATGGCAACTTGAAAGCACGCACGTAATAGAGGCGAATAGGTCGTGCCGCGCGTTCAATGTATACGTACCATTATAACGCTTCGTCTTACGTGGGCGAGGAAAGCGCGCGACGCGGACGATACGACCGACGCGCGACGCGACTTTATAAAAAAAAAAGTTTTCTTATGAACAATGAATAATTTCTTATGAAGCTTATGAATCAGCTCTGTTATCTATGCTTATGAAAGTGTCCTGCATTGCCGACGCAGGACGATTTCATAAGAAAACATTTTTGAAAGAACACGTGACGGTCAATTCGTCGATAGTAGCGCTTTTATCGGCCACGTAGAACAAAGCGTAATGGTGGGTTCATACAGCCAAATAAAATAAAATAAGAATAAAATAAAATAAGAAATAAGGAATTCTTATTTGTGTGCGTTCATACAGTCAAATAAAATAAAATAAGAAATATATATTTGCTCATGCGCAGTACGATGAGGCTGGATAAAAGTTAACTTTTACGATTGTTTATAGTAATTTTACTAGTGGCAATGAGCAGGACACCTGGCAAGAAAGGCGGACAACAGACAGACCACAAAAATTACAGCATGGTACCCACGCGAAGTTAAGAGACCTAAGACGAAGCCTGAGATGGGAACATGTAATTAGGAAATTGGCAGGGATAAGTTGGGCCCGCATAGCCAACAATAGACAACAATGGGCCCAACTACAAAGTAAGTAGTTAAACATGTGAGACAAAGCGAAACTACCGACTTTGTTACAATAGCTTATATAAAATAAACATTTTGAAGTAACATTCAAAGTAACTTTATAGACCTAAATAATCTGATATTCTGTTCTAGAGAAAAAAAGAGCAATATGTTAAGTGAAAGTTTTTTTCTATAAGGTGCAACAAGTTTGATATCTTACACACTGTCATTTATGATTTTCTACAATTATTTATAAAACAGTCAAGAAAAAAATACCGTATTGGGAAATATTCTTTGCTTTATGTAATTTTAACGAAAAAAATGCTATTTTGGACAAACTTTTCCAAAACATATAATTTTATTGAAAGCATTTGTATAGTTCTGAAACTCAGCACGTGGATATTATGTCACCTAACCCCACTTTTTGCATATTTAAAGATTTTTCGAATCTTTATTTTAATCAAAAAGCAGTGGTAAAAATAGAAGGGAATAACACCGAAGAAATAGAAATCCGTCGAGGCGTTAGGCAGGGGTGCGTGCTATCACCGATGTTATTTAACCTCTATTCAGAGGAAATAATGAAACGAGCATTGGACGATGAAACGAAAGGACTAAAAATTAACGGAGTGCCTATCAACAATATAAGATATGCGGATGATACGATCCTGATGGCTACGAACCTAAACGATTTACAGATATTAGTAGATAAAGTTAATACATCGAGTGAAGAGCTCGGACTGTCACTAAATGTAAAAAAGAAAAAATTTATGATAATATCCAAAACAACACAAAACAATTCACAAATTCATATAAATAACCACTCCATAGAAAAAGTTGACAGTTATAAATACTTAGGTACAATGAGGAAGATAGCATATATTTTATTTTTCGCCAGAAACTCTTCAATTTATTAAAATAAATATGTGTAAATGCAAAAAAAAATTTTTTTCTTGAAAGCAGTACCACAATTTTATAAAAAGAGCCATTAAAATACTATGGACAACGCAAACGACGTCTCGCGAATTGAAACGATATTCTATTGGTCTAACGTCACCCGCCGTCCGCCGTTCTCGTCGACGCGCGATGGCCAGCAGCAGCCAGACGTGTTCCATTTATGTACGTATTTAGGTGGCGTACTAAGACATTTTTGTTGCTTTTAGCGTTGATTGAAGGAGCTTTTTATGCTTTTTGTGCAGTTATTATTTGTATGTGTTGTGTGTTCTGAGAATTTTTTAAGTAATGGCAGATTCCGGGTTTGTAAAAGCACAATCAGATAACTTGCCAAAAGTCGATGCTTTTATGTTGGCTGCTTTTATAAATACAAATTCTCAATTTATTGGTGCTGAATTACGAGGAAAAAAACAGAGAGGTATGTAACATTTATTCTTTGTAGTACTGAGGCATATTTAAGTATAAGTAGGTACCTATACTGTTACGAACTTTCATATAGTTATAAATATTAATGTTATAAACTTATTTTTCAGAACAGATAGGGAGACGTATGGAGATAATGCTGTAGGTTATGTAGAAGTGAAAAGAGACAAAAATATTTGTTTAGTACGTGGAAAAGTAACTCCAGAGCATAGCGTGAAAAAGAAAGTTTTTTTTTTATATATTGACACCCCCTTACCTTTGTTATTTTTAAAGATTGTTTTTTTTTAAGAAATTATAGGAAATAAATTGTTTATCAGTAATGAAAATATTATACAAGGTGTCCCATAAGCAAACGCCAAAATTAAGTTACTTTTTTAAGTGAAACACCGTATATATTTTTGGATTCTTCGGAAATTTCTAGATATTCTAGATATATTTCATGTATAATACCCTATACCTATCTTCAAATGTTTACGAAATATTGACAGTTGAAAAGCGAAAAATACCTACAATTTTCTGGACCACCTTTTTTGAGACACCCTGTATATCTAGAATTAATTTTAAAAGAGAGTATATGAAAAACCATGCAACTTTTTTATTTAATGTTTTCTTCTAAAACTTGCAGTTAAGGCTGCATGTGGGTGTCAAAATATAATGAATAACAAAAAAAAACACAACTTCTGACAAGCAGCGTCCCTTTAGGTTTAACGCCAGAAGTGTTTACAAAAAATAACTATTTTATTTTGTAGATTTTTCTTGCAGTGCAGTGGCGAAAAACCCATAAGGATTTTTTTGGATATAATGAATAACCCTGTACATTCAAATTTCATATACCTATGTAAGACAATATACATAAATATATGAACTTACATCAAAATGATCTTCACAACAATAAATCGTAAAAATAGAGGATAATTTAACGCTTTTCTTTTCATCTCTTCTCATGGCCTTGAACCATTTTTTTCTGTTTTCGCTCATCCATTACTATTTATAAATATCACTAATTACTAATTATGTATTAATTAACCCAAATAACTAAAATTTTGACTCGGATTCAACAGCGTTTAAAAGCAAACTGTGTAAAATAAACACGCATCTGGCTCCACTCAACCAGAAGAACGGCGGGTGACGTCACAGCGGCAAGGCGCGGTAGAGAGCGTTTGCCCGGCCATTTAAATTAACAATATTTAATTATTTTATATTAGAGGCATTTCTTAACCGATATCAACGATTTTTTTTTGTTCAACTTGTAATTATATGAACTATTTTTTAAAACCATTATTTAAAAACATGCATTTTCCTCATTGTAAATAAAAATAACGACTGTTCTGAAGAAATTAAAACTAGAATAGGACAGGCGAGAACAACATTTGTGAAAATGAAAAGAGTGCTCTGTGGCAGCGATCTCAGCTTGGATTTAAAAATCAGAATGGTGCGATGCTATGTTTTGTCGGTGCTGTATTATGGTGTAGAGGCTTGGACTCTGAAGAAACTTGACATAAGGAAACTAGAGGCATTCGAAATATGGTTGTACCGTAGAATACTTAGAGTAAAATGGACCGATAAAGTGACCAACATGGAAATCCTGAAAAGAATAAAAAAGGAAAAAGAAATTATCATAATGGTAAAAAAGCGTAAACTTCAGTACCTTGGACACGTCATGAGAGGAGAAAAGTACCACCTACTCCAACTGATATTACAAGGAAAAATTCAAGGAAAGAGAAGTGTAGGAAGAAGGCGCCACTCATGGATGAGAAACTTACGTAACTGGTTCGGGTGCACCACAAACCAACCATTTCGGTCGGCTGTGTCACGAATACGTATAGCACTGATGATTGCCAACCTTCGCAACGAAGAAGGCATTTGAAGAAGAAGAAAGATTTTTGACAGTTGTTGCATGTCATATATCAAAATTTTCATTTTCAAACATCATTTTTTTCTTGTGTATGGTAAAAAAATTACGCCAAACCAAAAAACTTTTTTTAGAAAAAAACTCAGTAAAAAATCCCATTTATTCCAAACGTTTTGATACACACCGTATACAATCATATACAAATCGTAAAAATATAAAGACCTTAAATACTATATTATTTACAAATTTAATTAAAATATCTACAAATTCCACTTACTTGGTGCCACCGAAATGTTGAATTTTGATATGTGTGTCAGGAAATTTCGAATCCTCTTCGCTGTCTGACGAATTTTCTTCGTTCTCTTCAATATTTTCATCATCCTCTTTGACATTATCTTCATTCCCTTTACTTTTGATTTCATCATTCACGGATTCAACAATCTCCTGGTTGATGTTACTTAAATCTTGGGAAGCTTCATTTGATTTAAGGTCTTTTTCTTTCTTTGTCAGTTCGTCCTCTATATAAAAAGCAAATAAAATACCTGTACAATACGGAGTATTTCGAAATTACTTACCATCGCTTTCATCCAAGACTTCTACTTCAACTTCTTCTTCGTTCAAAGATTCTTGAATGCTCAGGTTGTCATCTTGTGCAACTACTTTCCGTTCTCCTAAGAAAATAGTGGTAAAAGATACGTACAAATAAGTTAGATTAGTAATAACGAAATGACGTTTGCAGCTTTGGTTAGGGAATGAAAAACCCTTTTTTGAAGTTGCAGACGTTTCCCGTATATTCTCTTTTATTTATCATAAATTGAGTTTGAAGTGAGATAAAATCTCCCCCCTTGCCCCAAATGAGTTTGCTTGTCAGCTGGCTTAGTTGAAAATTTTAAGTGAGACGAAATACTAATGAGGTTATAAATCGCTGCTAGCGCGAACCGAATTGTTCTTTTTACTTTTTATTCATCTCAACTCATCTCAATTGTATCTATATAATATGTATTGTATAAATATCTTATCTTATTATATCTTAGTAGTGAGATTTACTTAGATTTCCTGTAGGTAAAAAGAATACAGCTAATGTGACTGTGAATCATAGATAATATGACTATGAATCATAGATAATGTGTCCATGAAATTACTTATATGGACTTACATTAGTTTACTTGGGGTGGTTTTATTACCGATTCTGAACTGTCCAAGAACTGTGACACTAACGCCGCCCAGAAGGAAATATATGGCAAGTTTTCATCTGCGCATGCACTGTAGAGTTTTAAAATGGTTCAAATCGGTAATATTGTTACGTATCCCGTGAGTTCTTATTTCAAAACACACAATCTCGCATCGTTAGCGGTCGTTCGTTCCCCGAAAGATGTCGCCACGCTTCTTTAAAATATCAAAAACCCATAGAAAGTTAATAATATAAAAATTAACCATCAACTGATCAAAGTTTGACAACCAGCGTCATTAAAAATAATTAAATCCTAAAAATATCGTCGCCTTCCACACAATGCATGTGACGTAACTAACATTTTTTTAATCGCTCAATTCCATGACAGCTGCGCCCATTAATATATGACATTCGAACAATTTAATTTTTGAAATAGAGAGCCACATGTCTTCTCTTTATGTCACATTTGCTGTGGTAATCACTAAAGTTGATGTTTAGGCCATACAATTTTTTTTAACAGGCAGTTTTTTTTCTCCAAATTTTTATGAATTTAAATGTGTAATAAAAAGAGGTTACCAATTTAAAATAAGAAAGTTGCTGTCAACTTCCGGTATTTCCGGTCGCCATATTGAAAATATTTTTAATCGATAGATCTCATTGTAAAACAATCGATCTAGATATTGTACTTCTTTAGAAACTTCTAATGCACGCTCAGCTTAGGACACCCTGTATATCTCCTACCTTATTTCACTCATAAGCTATATTTTTATCTAGAACTTTAATCCACGAAAGTTCTAGATAAAAATATAGCTTATGAGTGAAATAAGGTAGGAGATATACAGGGTGTCCTGAATTATATAAGTCAGATACTTTATTACAAACTCTATCAACTTATCACTTGACACCACCTTTAATTCGCAACAAAAACGACCTCAAACGCTGCTGGTAGTAATAAAAATAATACTTTATAACTTTCTTTATCTCCAAGCGAAATTTTCGCGCCGATTTGTTGCAAATCATTGTATGCAGTGGATTCAACTTACGTATATTGGGCTGATTTTTTTAATTTAAATTTCTCGCCTCGCAAAATATTCCAATTTTCACAAAAAATTTCACACCGATTTATTGTGTGCATTCCTTTTTATAGTTAGGTAATTCTGTGACATTACAAGTCCTTATGGGTACTTACCTAAATGTTTTTCAACACAACCATCTTCTAGCCTGAACAAGAAACTCAGACCCAAAATTAAATGTGAAGGGGGTAGAAAATTCTTCTTGCCTCTAACCATAAAGCTACCTAAAATATAAAGAGAAATATCAAACAATATAACCTTTAATTTTCTTGATGATGACTTTACCTGTTGTTAGATATTCTCCTGTAGGTGCAGTCTTGCTCACTTGATCGCCCCAGACCCAATATGCATTTGTAACAACCTTAGCATCCCAAGCCACACTAAATAATAATAATTAATTAATAAAATACAATTTTATAATAAAAATATACCTATAACAAATAGCCATTGTTCCAGCTTCGTTTAAGGTTTTTGGTGGAACTGGCAACCCTGCGGGATTCTTAATTATGACGCTGCTAGCACCATGAATGTCTGCATGAACGTAAATATCAGTTGACCTCATGTACCTTAAAAATATGAATTAATTGTCACTGCTGGCAGTATGTATACTAATCAAGACCATGCTTTACAGTGTCTTCTGTGGTCTTTACATACCTTTTTACTATTAACTCATTTTGCTGTTGATCACGTCCTGCTATAATCAAATAATTCTCTGAACTAATAAACCAGTAAAACTTTTCAAACCAATAAACTTTTCTGGCCTTATTTATATTTGTAATAGTTTGCACTTCTTTTAGAGTTTGCTTTGTTTTTCTCTCTGCCGACTTTAACGCCTTTGTTTGAGACTCAATAGTCTTTTGCTGTTTTTTTGCTGCCGTTCTTTTCTGGTCGTAGTATCTAAAATTTTAACCAAACATATTCATGAAATAATTTGATAAATCCATAAAATGTTTTACTTTCCTTTAGAAACACCCTGTATATCAGACATTGTGGTTCAAGTCGATATTACAGACAGTAAAAACGTAAAATTTTCTATACAGACTAATTAAAAACATTGAATATTAGCATTTTATTAACTTATACCGAGTGCGTCCCAAAAGTGACTCATCCGAATATTTTTTTTATTTTTTCAGATAAAAAAACGAAATTTGTTACGTTAGTATATGACTAAATTAGGATTGATTGAAGTATTCAATCGTTTTTGATCACTTCCTGCTTCACCGGAAAATACTACAACTTTTGATTTTTAAATGGCACCCTTGGTATATTTCTACTTTATTCAACAGAAAATGACACTGAATAGAATGACATATCATATGTCAACTTTTGACATTTCGCATATGGTTTATTTGAAATTGTAACAATCGGTTTATAATGAAAATTTGACTCGAAATACAAAATGTGTAATACCAAATTATTTGTAAAAAATGCTTTTTCCAAATATGCTGATGAGCCACCCTTATTCCATTTGAAAAAATCGAGATATAATTAAAAATATGATTTGGGCATCTTTTAACCGGCCAGGACAAGACACTAAAAACATTAGAGGATCAAAACTATTCTTCCAATGCTCCTTGATTAAAAATTAGTGTTTTTAACATAGACATGGCACTCTCGATTGAAATTTAAAATACAATTTTTTTTAATGAAAATATCAAAAGTTGACATATGATGTCATTCTGGTGCCTTTTAAAAATGAAAAGTTGTAGTCATTTCCAGATAATCCTTTTTTTAAATAAGAACCAGAAAAATTGGCGTTAAAAAGCGGCAACATCGCATAGGGTAATGTCATCATATGCTTGTGTCATCTATCACAATTCCTCCGCGGCATCAAATAGTACCATAATTTTGTTTCAATATTTTCAAATTTACTGGATTGAATAATCCACAATTTTTTTTACTAATATTACCTATTAAAAACCTTACTTTTGAGGAAAATTTTTGTTTTCTTAAAAATCTACTGTCCGTAAAGTCGAACGGACCCAACATTGTTATTGACAAATAATTAAAATAATATACTTCATGTACCTTCTAGCGTTAGCAAAAGCTGAAAGTGCCAAATCAACATCAACAATCATAGATGGAATTTTATTGTCATTTTCTTCATCTGAAGCGTCACTGTCAGTGGGTTCTGCATAAGGATCGGTTAAAAACAAACTAATATGGTTAATTTCCAATTTTAGTTCTTTAATTGCACTCGCTATGGGGTCCCCATTTGAAATAGCATCTTTTACCAAGTCATTTATATCTTCCCATGATAACTAAAAGTAAAGTTGTTTCTATTAACAAATAAAAATAATTTAAGAAAAAAAATACTTGGTTTGCTAGTAACATTTGAATAGAAAGTATTGCTCTTTCTACAAGTTCCTGATTTCTGGTAATCAGTTCTGCTTTCTGCTTGTCAACTTCTTGCAATTCTTCTAGTGCTTTCAAACGTTGGTTGTGATCTTTCCTAACATTTTCAAGCTTTTTTAGTGCATCCCTTTCTTGCTGTACAGCTAAATAACAAATATTTATTGATTATTTCACAATCAAATACAATATATAGAAAAAATACCTTTAAGCTCTAATTTTTGGCTTTCCAATGTTGAAAAAAATTCATCTACAGCAAGAGAAAATGTTTCAAATTCTTTATGTGGTAATTTTATATGCTGTTCAAAAAGCATTGGGTGGAATTCCTGATTAGAATAAAAATCTGCCACCTGGTTTGATATATCACTTGTTTGCCTTTCTTCCTTCTTTTGTATTATATAGCCCTAAAAATATATATTTTCAGAAACACATTTTACGCATTATAGAACAGGAAATACTTTAGAAGATTCATTTTGAGCATTTTTAAAAATAATATATGCTTCTTTTATAGCCTCAACAACTTTATCAATATCTTGACTAATATCAAATGTCTTTCCAATTTTTGCTGAGTTTGGAATACCTTTCTTTACCAAAACATGTTCAATAAGTGCTGGACCATATTCTATAAAATAATTTCAATAACATTAAAAATAAAAATTAAAACTTACAGTGACAAACCTAAATTTGAGAGTAGAACTTTTTTAACTTGATCTCCCACCTTTCCTTTTTCCAGAATTTCAACAATTTTCTCTTTTGTAACATCCTCTATCTCTCTTGCTCTATTCTGAGGGTACTTTTCTCTAACAGCAAATTTTACTTTATCTCCTTCAGTGTGAGGTCTCAGCACATATAAAATAGTCATCTCATAATCAGTTAATACTATGTTACCTCTATCATAAAGTTCTAATATCACATGGTATGCAGCTTCACCGCTACCAAATTGCATATCTATAATACGATCAGTCCCTAATTGTGCAAGACTTTCTATTCTCTTGTTTCTTAAGTGTTTCCTCAACTAGAAATTACATTATTTTATGCTTGACTGATTTTCAACTTCAAATAATAGTTTACCTTCATACTAAATCCTGACGGTGCAACATTCTTAGGCCATTCAAAATTAGTTGTATGAATTCTGTTTCCAGACTCGAGCAATAATACTTGCTTTTCTTCGTTTCTTTGAAATCTAATTAGATATGTCCTGTTATCTATATCGTAAATGTTGTTAACTCGCATTCCTATAAGTCTAAAATGTTAAATAAGTAATAAGATACATAAAAAAAACACAGATTAGTAATGGTATTGTAATACCTTTGTAATTCCGTGACAACACAAACTATGTCATACGTATTAAATCGAGTCTTCATTTTGTAAAGATTTACTATTTTAGTTATAAAATAAGGCTGATTATATTTAAAAAAGCACAGCACAAGCCCAAGCTAAAATGATTACAAAAAATACAAATCAGGGGCCTGAATCTTTATAGGCCAAATATTTTCAAGAAATTAATTAGCGCTGCTGAACTAGATGGCGCTAGGTGTTGAATGCATCCCATATGCAACCAGTTAAACACCTATAAGTCAGCCATTTTCTGTCAGGTGAAGTACGCGGCACGCGTCGATTTCAAAATTTTTATTTGCTTGAAAGAAATCTATAATATATTTTTGGTAAATCTTTGAAGGGCTTTGAAGGGAATGATTATAAACTTTGGATAAAAACATTAGATTGTTTAGTTCCCTCCAAATTATATTATTATTATATAAATTTACCAATCTCCCATCCCTTTACTGAATTTTCGTACCTTTTTCTGTCTTTATATTTTACCAAGGATTTTACGCACGTTTTACCTGATTCTCTGTGTTTAAAAAATATATATAATTTCAGCTACTGTTTGGTAGATGTCGCCACAGTCGTTTATTCTTATTTAATTGTCTTATTCTCTTTTTCTCGTGGGTGCGACAGGGACAACACATTAAAAAAGAATGAAATCTCCTGTCAAATCTGAAATGATTCATTCGCCAGTGCAGCTTGAAAGGAGAGTTGTGTTTTGCGGAATCGTTAGTGCAATTCGACGTCGTGTTCGCGATATGTTTGTCTGAAATTCTATTTTGCGATGTTTTTAGTGCGCCGTTTGTGATTTTATGAATGAAAAGTTGTTTGTTTAAGTGATCTCGACCATGGTTGAACTGGATTTTAGCGCAGTCGGTAAGTATTTGCCGAAAATGGCGAGAAAATCGCCACCCTTGATCGCTGCAGGGCCTCCGATAGTATTGACATTTTCCCAGCCACACTTGTTTTGTTTTGTCTTTTCCAATGGCTTTTGTTTTCGCATTTCGACGTCAAAATGGACAATCCTCTGTGTTTGAATAGGGGTCTATTTGACTTAGTTCACTGAACATAAAGTATAAAGTGGTTTCCAAAAACAATTCCATTGAAGCTTAATATGCGCAATCTGGTGTAGGTGGTACGTACAGTCCCACCCTTATCAACTAATTATCAAAAGATATGATTGTTTCCAAAAAAGTATATCGATATTGACAACAATAATTTTAAGTCATAATTGTTTGCATAATACACTTCTTATAAAGCATTTTTTCCTGCTGTTGAATCAGATTTTACTGGATCATATTTATGTGGTGTTTGTTAAACATAATTACTGGTATCAAATTTAATGTTTTCTGTGAATGTTGGAGTATAATTCAGGAATGTCTGTTTAATATATCACATGACAGGAGTTTTTAAATGTTATCTGAAAAAATAATGTTAATTACTAATGCCATGTGTAATAGAGAGGACTGACTCTAACACCAACTCTACATAAGAAATTATCATATGATCAAAAAAAAACGGTGTCAGCCATAGCTATGAAATGAAGATCGGTGTCATTTTGTATGTTAAATTATATGGAGAATGTCATCGATGTTCATTTCTAACCCAACTGCCCGCCGTTTTTTTTTTCGATCATGCGGTACATTTAGTTATAATTTACTATACATATATCGTGATATAAAAAACAGGTAGAACTACACAGTTTATTATAATATTTTATGTATATTAAATGCTTTGTGTTTTATAACTTACCTATTTTATACAAAATTTTTAGCAACCTAACAACTTTAACAACTGTATTTTGGCCGGTACTAAAAAACAAACAAAAATTCATTTTTGGATTTTGTTTCTTAACAAGTACCTATTATGTGTATAGCTTATTTTCACATTACAATTTTAGTTTTTTGAAAGAATCCCTTACCGTTGTTTACATAAAATACTAAAATAATAATGCCCTATCCCTATACCCTTGTTTACATAAAAAACTAAAATAATAAGGTTTAGAGAGCTTCTTCTTCTTGTTTCACGATGACCACACGCCTTTCGACGGCCAGTCAGAGTCTATTATTCTTTGATTATTGTTTCTTTCTGATTTCTTTATTCTTCAGTCAAACAGAGAACGTCCTCACGAACGCAGACGCCTGGAATTGAAGAGACTTTGGGCGCATTGAGGAAAACTTCTGCTCATTACTGCACTTTCATGTGGGATGATTCTCTTCTAGGGCCCTCTAAATTAGGCTTTTATGTCAAGGTAGTGAAGGATCAGGAATCACAAAGGAAAGACATGTACTGTGGCGTGTCCAGCAACTAACAGACAGGGACTGCGCCAGGCCAGGATGAATATAAGGGATATACTGCAAAATAAATTACTTATTATTGAAAGTTAAATATCGTCATTATTCACCATTTCTAGCAAAGCAGGAACATGCAAAGCGTGATTAAGCTACAAAAACTACTACAATGCATTCTCGATTAAAACCTGTAGTACTAGTTCTACTTCTATAAAGATAGGATTCCTTTCTGGTTGAAAAATATTTAAGCAAAAACATCCAGCAAGCTACAATTATTCATCTACATGTAAGTTTACTCTAGATTAGCCAGTGTACAGACTGATAGTCTTATTGGCATGAAATCCATAAGCGTGGGGAATCCACATCCGTAGGTATTCACAATTTAATACTATTTTGCTTAAGGTATTGGTACACCAATTTTGCCTCTTTGGATATTGGGTTCCTCAGGACATCTTGAATCCTAATGGGAGAACTCATACAGCTAGCTAAAGACAGGTATAGAGTATGACATGCTTGATCTCTCAAACTACAAGCAAAAATAACGTGCGTAAGGTCCCCCTTACTTCCACATTCACACAGAAAAGAGTCTTTGATACCCAACTTGTGGAGATGAGTCGGAGTGAGACAATGTGACGACCTCATTCTGCAGAGCAAACTGACATATTCGCGAATTACATCCGCGCATTTGTCGAACCATGGGGATCTGAGAGGTTGTGGAACAATGTTATAGTAGAAGACTCCTTTTGTTTGGCCCATATTATGATATAAATTTGTCCATTCTTGTCTGCTTTCCTTCTTTATGACGCCAAGGAGTTCAGAATGATGAATCTTATTATTCACCCGGTTCCTGGACTTTCTCCCAAGAGATGCCAGTCTATCAGCTTCCGTATTACCATCAATATTAGAGTGGCCAGGGATCCAGATCAGTTTTATAGATTTTCCTTGTTGTATTAGAGTAATAATTCGCTCTTTTATTCTTCCTGCTATTTTTCCTGCTCTACAAGAAATATCCGAACGTGTGATACTCTGTAGAGCACTCTTTGAATCTGACAGAATGGCGATTTTCTCTGCATCATCCCCAAGACCCAATAAGGCTCTCTCAATGGCTAATATTTCAGCACTGCATATAGACGTGTGCTTTATGCATCGGCCAATTGCTGAGTATCTTTTAAAAAAATTGTATATTCCAATACCACTTCTTTCAGATACAGGATCCAGTGACGCATCCGTGTATATTAGCTCATACCCTAATAATTCTTTTGAAACAAACTCCTGCAGTTTGGATTGACAACCTGTGGAAGCTTTAGTAAAGCCTGAATCTTCCCAGTGTACATCTTGTATCTGACAATCAAAGTCAGCTTCGAAACATGGTAATATCTGGCTTTTTTCAAGAATGTTGTAAAACGATAGCACTGAGTCCAAGCCTTCCAACAAGGCTGGTGATTCCCTTCTCGCCCAATAAGGGGGATCCTGATTGTAAGATATGTATAGCCCAATTAGACTTGTTGATATAGCCTCTTCTGTGCAAGCCAGTTTCTTAGCCGAGAATTTGGCACATAACCAAACTCTTCTGGCTCTTAACGGCATTTCAGCCGTCTTAGACATCAAAACATTAGTGGGGGTGCTATTCATGCAACCTGTTACTACTCTTAAAGCTTGCATATGAATTTTGTCATATTTTCTTGCATTCTTTTTTGACATCGTTAATAATGCCTGACAACCATAGTCCATGTGGCATCTTACGATGCCCTTGTATATATTCATTAATGTAGATGGGGGGGATCCCCACCAGGTTCTGCAGAGAGCACGCATCACGTCTACTCCTTTCTGTGCTTTTCCTTCAATATGAGGATTGCAAAATTCTTCAATATGAGGATTCCAGAGAAGACGACGATCCATTATGAGACCAAGATACTTATATTGTTCCACCCATTCCACATCTTATCCATCCGCTCTTATCGAGTGAGGAGGATTTGCTCTTTTCCCTCGATAGAAGTACATTGCCTTAGTTTTAGAGGGAGAGATTCTTAGACCATTGTTCTTCAACCAATCCAACATAGATATTAATGTTCGTTGAATTATGTTTATCGCATTGTCAACATTCTTATGGGAAGTGTAAATGACCAAGTCATCAGCATATTGTAAAATCTGTACATCCTCCTCCATCACCTGATGTATGCCATTAGTATATATATTGAATAAGATTGGACTCAGGGGTGATCCTTGAGGAAGGCCTTTATAGCCTATTTGGGGACCTATGAGATCTCCTGTGTTAGGGGATCTGACAAAGATGCTCCTTTGTGTTAAGATTTTTAAGATTGCTTGTATGGACCATTTATCAATTTCAGCATCGTTAAATTTCCTCTCTAGGAGGTCTAATTGAACATTATCATAAGCGGCTTTAAGATCAATAAATATACAGACAGCTATCTCCTTTCTGGCAAATGCCTGGTAAATATAACTAGATAATACTACCAGATTATCAGTGACACCACGTCCTCTTCTAAATCCATTTAGATGTTGATTGAAGAACCTATCCTGTTCTAACTTATGCTCTCTTCTATTTTTTATTATATTTTCAAATATCTTGCATAAGCAAGAGGAAAGAGCAATCGGTCTATAAGATTCGTGGTGAGACGGGTCTTTACCATGTTTTAGTAGTGGGACAATGATGTGTTCCTTCCATTCCGCAGGTATCGCCATATCTTGTCTTAAAACGTCATTATAAATGTTTACCAGACATTCCTTCATTTTAATGGGTGTTTGGGAAATCATCTCGAACGTAATGTTATCTTTACCAGGACATGATTCCTTCCTGTTTTTTAAGGCATAGTTGAATTCATACATGGAAATACTTTTTAGGTCATAGTTGTTGAATGCTCCAACTGCTGAGAAGTCTTTAGCGATGCAGTGAGGAGGGGCGAGGCTGTCCAACAACGTCGCGAGCCACAACTCCAACTTGTATATAACTATTGGAGTATACCTTGACCACTTTCCATATGGTACTCATGGGTGTGTTTTTATCAAGGCTTTCAGTAAATTTTCTAAAGCTTTCCTTTTTCTTTCGTTTCATGATCCTTCTTGCTACCGCCGCTTTTCTTTTGTACTCCAGATAGTTATGATCGCTGATATTTTCTTTATATGCCCGAAGGGCCCTGCTCCGTTCATCCACCGCCACGCGACATGCCTCATCCCACCACCTTGGTTTGGGAGTTGCTTTTCTCTTGCCCTTTTGGAATGACGTTTTTGGGATATGTCCCAATGCTGCCCTATTGATCTCCTCTACCAGACTTATATAAGAGTTTACGTTCACCTCCTGATTGAAGCTCATGAAGTATCCCTCCCAGTCCGCCTTCTTTGTGTTCCATCTACTTATAGGGCTATGTACTGTTTGGATGAACAAGTTAGAATTAATAAATACCCTCGTTGGAAAGTGATCACTCATGCCTGGGCTATCCACAATTTCCCATGAGATGTTTGGTCCTAGTTCTGCCGTCATTAAGGTGATATCCGGGCAACTTTTCCCTTGGTTCGGGGGAGTAATCCTGGTCGCTGACCCGTCATTTGCTATCAATATATCATTCT